TTTGATTGAGCCTGTTCATGGACGGTACTGGAAAGTGCAAGTTACCGTCCACGCCCCCTAGCACCGGCTTAAGCAGAATTCAACATTTAAACACCAAGATGGTGAAATTTTGAATTTAGAAACATCCGCAGATGTGTTTGTCGTATGGTCCTTTTCAAATGTAGGAATGGTCTGTTTATGCCTGTAAGGACATAAAACATACGCCTTGATAAATAAATAAACAAGATAAACAATTTCTGGCGCAAACCAAGAGAAATATTTATATCAAAGTGCATAAATACAGATCCGAAATACATAAACGATCAATGGAAATATGCATGATAATGAAACATAATGAATAACAACAATTACCTGTAAGGACATAAAACATACGCCTTGATAAATAAATAAACAAGATAAACAATTTCTGGCGCAAACCAAGAGAAATATTTATATCAAAGTGCGCATGCGTGAGGTGGATTTTCCGGGAAGTTTGTAAAAACTGAGGCCCGGCATGCAAATTATGTCAGAATGAAATATGAGAAATTAGTTGTTATAATGAGATGATGAAATGGAATGATATAGGAATAATATGGGATAATGGATTGTATATCGGACTGTAAACAGACAAATACAAGAGATATATATACAAATACAAGGACAAAATGATACATAAAAACGATATTCAAAAACACGAATATCGACCACACGACATGTTCATACGGCGGTTATCATGGAACCTTCAATGTGACACTTCCGTGCCATTCCATGAAAAGCGGCGTATGGTCCCCAAGTAATAAAAAGCGTGTGCCCTAAACGAGAAAACAATGGGCGGAAATAAATAAAATGGAATTTTGATAGGGGATCAGAGGTTATGAAGCCTGCGTATCACAGATAAGACGTCAAAAGACAAATTTAAAAAGCAGACAACATATCCTTAGGGTGATTCAACATTATTCAAGTAGGAATATTGGAACCACCCAACTAGAAAATGCCGAAAAGTTGAACTTAAAAATACCACAAGCACAACAATAATGTCGTGCTGAACGATCTTCAAGGATCGAAAATATAACATTATTGATTAAATGTACGGGGAGACTTTTTACAGCCGCCACACGGCACAAATAACACGGATGTGATCATAAAATAGATAAATACAGAATCCCTAAAGAAAGCCCAACACGGCAAAATTGAAAATGTTGCAGGCTCGGTTTGATTGAGCCTGTTCATGGACGGTACTGGAAAGTGCAAGTTACCGTCCACGCCCCCTAGCACCGGCTTAAGCAGAATTCAACATTTAAACACCAAGATGGTGAAATTTTGAATTTAGAAACATCCGCAGATGTGTTCATACGGCGGTTATCATCCGTCATTAAGTGTACCTCTGTAACAAAGAGGTGTCCAAAAAGGAAATCATAAAGACTTCATGGATATACTTTGGTAGGTGTCCCCTTCCTGTAGCACTGTGAAGAAATTGGCTAATGAATTTAAGAGGGGCAGGAAGAGTATTAGAGATGATTAACGGCCTAGGCGGCCAAAAGAGGCCAACAACACTGATGAAACTGCCGAAGCTGTGCACGCTCTGGTCACGTGCGACAGAAGGCGAGACCTGCGAAGCATTGCCAGGGAAGTGGGTATAAGCTTTGGTTCAGATTATGCAATTCTGACTGATGTCTATGGCTATCAAACGTTTCCGCTAGATGGGACCAAAGACAATTGACTGACAACCAAAAACGGACCAGACATGACATTTCAAGATATCATTTGTCTCGCTAAAAAGATGAACCTGATTTTATCTACCGGATCGTAACTCAGGATGAAACATGGGTCCATCACCAGGAGAAAAAAATACAGTGCATGCAGTGGAAGCACCCTGGCTCACCCCTCCGAAAAACTTCAAGAGGGTGCCATCAGCAGGGAAGATGATGGCTTCAGTTTTTTGGGATAGTCAGGGGATACTCATGATTGTCTATCTTGAGTAAGGTCGTACCATAAACGGTACGTACTATGCAGACGAATTAAGACGTCTGGGTCAAGCAATCGAGCGCAAAAGGAGAGGCAAACTGACTCAATGCGTTCAGCTCTTACACGACAATGCGCCAGCTCACACATGGCTGATGCAATTGACGGCGGCTTTAAAATTCTTTCCCATCCCCCATATTTTCCAGACTTGGACCCTCTGACTTCTACCTTTTTCCTAAACTGAAAACCAAGCTTCGCGGTAGACGTTTTGGAAGCAATGAAGGTGTCATGGAGGTAGTCTTGTTCTTAGAGGACCAAAATAGACATATCTATTTTGAAGGGTTAAACAAGTTTGGGCACTGCAGGTGGGCAAAGTGTATTGATGTAAAGGACGATTACATTGAAACGTAAATCATAAGTAGGATTCTCTGACTACTGGAAACACATTTTGGAAGGGAATCTATCAGATCATGTTGTTTTGTTTTGGGTTTTTTGTATGTGTGTTTTTTTTTTTTTTTTTTGCTTTTTGTTGTTGTTTTTTGTTGTTCTTTTTTCTATTAATTAGTCCAGATTACTGTATTAATTTTCCCCATAGACTTGAATTAAGACATGACCACAAAAACAACCTTACAATTGAGTACTCAACCTTTAGCCCCCTTTGACAGAATTGTTCTGCTGATCACAGGACTGATAATACTTTTTTAAATGCAAACACCCAAATGAAAATTATCCTAGACACTTATGAAACAGTTCTTTTCATATTAATACCTGTAACAAGGCGTAATTTATAGGTACCTCTTTACGTATTTAATGTTGCCTCGGAATGGAAATGCTATGAAAAGAAAAAAAACAGTATTTCACTTTTAAAAACAACAAAATAATATGAAAATGATTGATAAACTTTATGCATTTAAATAGAAATTTGATAGTTAAACGGTCTGCTAATTCATGGATGAAATATGGATGAGGAGAATATAATGTTAAATCTTCAGCCTAAGGTTCTATAGATCACTAAATGATATGTGATGTACATGTATTGAACGTATCACGACAGCAATCTACTAATGTTTTCCATACATAGTTGTATAGTACTCTTATAAATAAACGCTGAACAGATATACCGACTATTTCGTTTGCAAGCCCAAATTGAGTGACTTGCATCGCTGTGTTCTATCATAGTCATTCATACCACTGAAATGTAAAGTGTTCTAACACAAAGAAAGGTTTCGTGAAAAGGAATCTGACTTCCACCTATCAGATCATGTGTATTGTTGTTGTTGTTTTTTTTTATGTTCTTTTTGTTATTGTTTTCATTTTCCAAGACTACGCATTAATTTTTCCATAGACTTGAATTATAAGACATGATCACTTAACCAACCTTAAAATTGAGTATTCATGCTAAAAATGTGATTATTCTAGAAGAATGACCTAGAATAATGACATGCCAGACACATCATATTGATCTTGTTATATAGGGTTGACCGACCAATTTTTTTGGAAAATGTCCCCAAGGTGACTACCCCCATTTTCACTGAAATTGTCTACTGATCACAGGACTGGTAATACTTCTTTAAATGCAACAATCTTAATGAGAAATTATCCTAGACAGTTACGAAACAGTTAATTTATACGAAAATAATGCAGTTAGTTTTTAAAATAATTTTCCCATTGAATCGACGATTTTCACTGCTTTTTTGCAGCAAATCGCAGGCAGGTTACAATAAATAATTTGACCTTAACCACAAATTGTCGAATTACATCATGATATGTTCTATTCTAATGGACCATACTTCTGTAATAAATCGTAATGTAAGGAAATGTTCTTGATACTAGGAAGTTTATTGCAATAAATGTTAGAAATATCGATATCGTAGCATTTACATCAGCTCATGTTCATACTAAATTAAGCAGAGTGTTGTTGTGAGGCGTTATTAACGGAAAGTGGTCAGTAAATAACAAGTAAAATTCAGTCATTAGAATTGACTGATTATCCGGTTAAAGTCAATTAACTTTTAATTCTAGAAGTAGTTTAAAGAAATTTGGAAAATGACAAAAAAATATAGCTGAGTAATTGACAAACTATATTGACTTTCAACAATCATTAAAACACCTATTCAATAAAGCCAAATTATGCATGTTTATACTAATTCATATATTCTATAGTTATGCCATACGTAAAATGTTGGATTACTTTGTAATTAAAATAAAATTGGTCAATATATGCATAATGAGATATCTATGGTTTCACAACAAGTTTTAAAGGGAGTATCGTGGAACAGATATTTAAATATTTAGTTAAATCTTAAATAGTTTTTGGAGATGTCGGATTCGTAAGTTTGTCTTTTGCATTGATTTTGACAGTAACATTTGATTTGTAAACCTATTTTAGATAACTTATCTTAAGTTTATGCTATCAGGTTTTCATTATACAAATTGTGATACATGTGTACATACTTTTGCCTTATCTTATTGACATATCATTTCAAATAATAGTAGTTTAAATCGCTCGATTGTTTCAGACAGAGTTTCTTGCTGTTCACATTAAAAGCTTGAAAGTGATATAGTACTAAGCGTATACTCATTATATACAAAACCGCAACTTTACTTTTCTAGTTGAAATTTGTGTTGAATCGGACTAAACATTAATAACTCTAATATTATATCTGTTGTCGGTTTTTTCATATATACTAATTACATTCATCTGAGCACTCTCGCTTTACGTCAGTTTTATTATATTCATTAATAGAAGTTTATCCGCTACTGCACTAAAGACGACGATACGTCTAAATGAAATGGTAACTTTTTTATTTAATTATACTTAAATAAGTTTATTCCAATACAATTAGTTCCGTCTGAAAAAGAAAATTGCAGTTTATATTTTTTTATTTTAATTTACTTTTATTTTATTTTTATTTATTTTACGGTTTGTTTTTCTTTTTCTTTTTCTTTTTTTTCATTTTTAATTTCACTTTTTTATCTTTTTATTTTTTTTCATGTACGCAAGAGCAGTGGTATGTCCTTTTACATCTAATATTGTAGAAAAATACAAACTTAAGGTGCTCTAGCCAAGGCGATTTATATCACTCTCGACTCAAGACAAATAAAAGCAAGAATGAGCCCATAGAAACAAGATTTGCATTATTGACAACAAATGTTCTGGATCTGGCAGAGCGTGTACGGGAAACCTTGGAAAATGATAAAGTATTAAATGTTTCAATGATCTATAGCTATTTATTTTTCGGAAATATATAAGAATCTACAAACTATTGTTTTTGTATTTGAAACGACGCCTTTGTGTGTTTTATGGCGTCTGTTACTATTCCAAAAAATATAATTATATATTTAAATAAATCTACATATTTTGTGTTTGATCCTTTAATCTACTTCGAATATGTTTATAAGTAGGGGATATATTTAAACCCAATTAAATCTTTAGAATTGCAGTGAAACATTTAAGGCACACCCTGTCTAATAATATTACACCAGCTGCCGGTACAGACCGGAATGTCTAGCACGAAGGTAACTGTTAACGGCGGTAACGAGGAATAACGAAAACTAACATTTTCATTCAGCACTTTTTCTTATAATAGCACATGGATTTACAACTTAAGTTATAACGGCAAAATGACATCATCTTAAGAATGCAATTCTTTTGTTATGGCGCGCTTGAATGAGTCATTTAAAGCACGTGACTTGTCTAACACGACGGTGTAAGACAAGTTTTTCGCGCACCGTTGTAAAGAGTAGATAATTCTGTCTGATATGAAATAACAATATTTATACCTTGTCATACAGAAAGAACAGGGAAGAACCGTTTGTTCAGGGAAGAACCGTTTGCTGATGTTGTAAGAACTCGTGGTTCAACCCTTTTGCTACTTTTGTATTTATATTATGATAATATTATGTTATAAATGTGTAAAAAAAGAGCAATAAAATATGTTTAAATCATTATAACATGAATTAAAATAAGGTTCTATCACTTTTTGAACATGACTCATGATTTTAATCTAAAATATAAAAGAAAACAACGGGTTTAAAATCTGCAAAAAAATACTAGCTGTTGTTGTTTCCATGTACACTCTCAGGTTAAAACGGTAAATAAATGTTGTTCGTTACCATAATGTTTTCTTTTTTATAATAAATTACAATCCTAAAAAAACATTTCGAAGACACAAACGCGGCAGGTTAATTAGGGAATTTATGTTAGTTATCTCTCTTAATGTGTCTTGTATTGACATACAATTGACATTGTATCGGTTTTCAGCTATTTAGATATCAGACCGATATTATAATGTACGTACATCTGACGCAATATAGCGTTCATCCGCCAAATAACTAGTATATGCTGTGGCTTGTTATCATGATAATTAAATTCGTATACAAGTCCTTTAAAAAATGTATTTATGTGCTATATCACATGTTAGGAAAAATATCAAGTACAGGCTACTGAAGTCGCCAGCTTAAGAAAAGAAAATTAACGTCTCCGAATCAAAGTAGTTGAACTACAAAATAATGCCGAAAAGCATACAGAAGGATATAAAGCTCTTCACACACAGTTTATTCAGAGTGCAGAAGAGACCAAAAGGCTAAAGGATATCGAGAAGATGTATTTGAAAAGCAAGTCATACTTTGAGATGTTGATGAAAACACATGAAAATGAGAAACGCCAAATGCAACAAACGATAAAAGAAAAGAATAATCAAATCCAACTTCTACAAAGTGCTGAAAGTACGGTAAGGGACCAACTCTCAAGAACCGGGGAAGAAACAGATGATTCTAACACAAGGTATTGTACAATTGTACATCATTTTATGATGATGAGTTGAATTTCGCATTTGCTAGGTCCAAACACTCATGGAGTTTCACCGATCTCTTCATACATGAAGTGTTTTATTATATTATCAAATTAAAATTCTTTATTACTTAGATCTAGATTTTTTAAAAATAAAATGAATTCATTTTTCACACAAGCATCGAAAGTTCTAATAAGGCGGACGGAAAGCGCAGAAGATATTTAACCTATTTTTCATCATTCGATTCAATTTAAAACAGATTAAATATGAACATAAGAAATGCAGCAAAACGCTTCTTTAAGGTTGTCCCTATATTGTTGACTGTAACAAAAGTCTGAATTCTCTTACTTACACATAATGGTTTTTTTACGTAACGTTGTTTTTTAAACGTTCGGTCTTAGCCAGTCATCGGAAAACGCAAACATCCAAGAGTTAAGTGACATTAACCGTCCAACAAGACTTGGCGAGAAATATCAAGAAATCTACGACAACGAATGGACAGAAGCATTTGAATGTTTAACTGAGAGTGAACATAGCAGTACACAGCCAATTTTAGATTTACTCAACATTCTTATGGTAGTGCAATGCTTTTACTTTAATCATTATTATTTACATGCTAATTCAGTCACTGATCAAATTATTTCAGATAACACGCCTTGCTATTTAAGAATATATCGTGATACATATAAAATAATAAGCATTAGAACTGGCCATATAGATTTTGTTTGCTATTTTGTTTAGTTTTATGGCGCACCTACACATTTAATATCATATGACCCCTAAGAAGGAAAATAATTTGGGCTAACTGTGAGTGTTTTAAACTTAAAATCAACACCAGTGGTCAAAACCTCCCCGCCTACCGTTGTTAAGAGATGCATAGACTTCTTTTATTTGACCCAGTTGAGTATCCCCTTATGATCGGTGGCTGCCATTCAAATGTTATGCCTCCACCCTTACAGGCAACCCCTCACCCACAATGGACTTAATGTACATTTTCTTAATAGAAATTTCATGAAGGATATTTCCTTAATCGGTCTAAATCATTGTAATCCTGTGTTCATATACATATGTTATACTATAGATGTAATAGCAATGCTACTGCTCATTTGTACAAAGACAATGCATGCAAATTGCAAACAAATTGCATGAAATATAGTGGTGACGTCTCGCAATGTATGAAATAACAAAAAAAACGATTTTAATAAATATAAACTAAAATTAATCACGTTTTACTTGTAGTAAAGTAAAAACAATATATCGTTATGAAGATTAATGTAAATATAACGCAACATTTACTTTGACATACATGTATTTGTTGTTTAAAATGTTGTTTTAGGAAACAAACTCCTTTTCTGAAAAAGAGGCCGAAAAGCAACTGGAAGAAATACAACAAGCCTTAACACAGGATAGGAGCAAAGTATCTTTCTTTAAAAATGAAGTTGCGAAAATAAGGATTCGTTTATACGCTGTCCAATGGCAACATTGTCTTTACTAATATATTAAAACAATTAATTGACGATTTAGACAAAACAGAACAAACACATATTTCAAACTGATTCTTACTGCTTGCTATAAGTAGTTTTTATGCAAGCACAATTATGATAAAATAACGCATTTATCTAAAGATAAACAAAATGCTATATTATCTGGCAATAGAACTTGAGTCTTTGATATATTTCATTAACAAACATAGAATCTACGTAATTTAATTATTTTAGATGCAAGAGGATTCCAGAAAACAACTATGTTTCACAAGAATAAACGACAAGATGAAAGAATGTAGGAAAGCTATAGCTGTATTTTCTGGTGATCAAGTATATAAGGTACTGTATAATGAAGATGGCAGATTTCTTATTACCTTATACAAAACATGGTGGTGGTGGTTGTGTTGATCACGACTGATAGCCACATTGAATTTACCAGGCCCAGATTTCACTAACGTTCTCAAAGTCAAAATCTCAGGTCAAATTTTTCAGCTCAGGAGATGTTTCCCAACTCAGAAATTAAGATTGAGATTTTTCTCAGTCTGACTTTCACTAAAAATATTGAGTATAATCTCAACTTAATATTTGAAATTTTTCTTAGTTATATTGAGACAATGTTTCGCTGTCTCAGATTATGTTTCAGTTAAGCTAAATTATTGTTCTCGGGGGTATTTTTACTTTCTGCATGGTTATTTTGATAAATAAACATAGTTTCACCTTTTTTTGCAATAAAGTCCCTATGTCATATATTAAGTAATTTATTGACTGATTATTGTGGGTGTCATCTTGGCTCTATCATGAAATTATGACGTCACAATAATCATATTAAACATGATTTACTTGATTTTGTTTCGTTTTCATTTATAATACATGTACAGTTTGCCAAAAATTATGAAGATCTACATTCATTCTTGATAAATTAGTTTCATCAGCATAAAAATATTCACACATTTGATTCTTGGCGTTTTCGTTGTTGTTTTTTTTTTTGTTGTTGTTTTAAATAAAAGAAGAAAGATATATCTGCAGTGATTTTCCTACTTATATAACAGACTCCGAAAAAAGGCCTCTTCCACATTGAAATTTTCTTTAAAATCATGCAGTTTTCCCAAGTTTTTATACTTCCCAAATCAGCTATTTTAGCGATAATTTTTCTCAAAATCAAGAGGACAATGCCTCTTCTTAATAAAGTGAGAAAAAAAAAACACTGATCTATAATCATTAATGTGGTAAATATACAAACCATTTCCCTGAACATTGTATCATTTTACATCAAAATAGCAATATACTTTGTAACAAAAAGAAAAACTCCATATATTAGTCTAAGAAGCCTATCAACAATATACACTAAGATTGAATTTTAAAGATAGCTGCTTATGTCTTGAGAAAAAAACAGTCCCACTTGAGAAAATTCTCTATTGTTGAGAAAAAGTTTATTGAAAGCCACGGCATCGTTTCTGAATAAACTGTCAAGTCGTATACCAGTAGAAGTTGCCTTCACTTTCGCAAGGAACTGATTACTTTTGTACATGTCAGGGTAGGGGTTCATTGCGAATGACCATACTAGATCAATCACAACGAATGTGACCTGAGGTGTCCGGTAATCGAACCACAGGTCGCCCGATTCAAAGGCCAACGCTCTACCTGGACGTATATTTTGTATTATTTTTATCGTTAGTACGTCATTAGTCAGGGTCACAGTTATTATAAGATATGATATGTTACCAATAAATAGCTTGAATTTACATTTACGTTAACTTACATTGAGCATATGATGGCAAGCAAAAGAAAAACATTTTTGCCCCATAAAGTTAAACGAATTCAATCTTTTTGTGGCTGGCAAGTACTGTTTTATACTGTGGAATTTGGATCACTGTGACGATTGAAACCATAATTATTGTAATATTTCTAGTATTTCTGACCAACAAATATCAATACACATACACTAATTACCTTTGGTGCATTGAAGGTTATTATGCCAAGGTCAACTGTTGTTTTGTAACAGTTTCTTATAAATATATTCAGCCCTTAACATACAAGATCATTAACATTGCATATAGTTAGGGTCTTCACTAGTCAGACATTGGCACCATGTAGTCAAGAGTCACTTCCAAATGTTAAGATATCAACCTTGTTTACGAACTTTTGAACTATATCTCGTAGTAGCCTAGTGATGAGTTTCCTCCAGTAAGTGTAGACAGGGAGGTAGCCGCCCTTTTCGTGTAGTGGTGAAGGGAGTATAGTGTTGATGACGGTTGTAGTAAATAGTTATTGTCGCGGTAATACTCTGTCATAATTATATTCAAACAGAAATGTGATTTGGTAGAATATCCAAAGGGAAAAGAAACAAGAGATAATATGATTGTTTTCCACTCGATGGTATTGTTTGCTTATAATAATATTGTGTTGTTGTTGTTGTTGCTTTAATTTCATTTGTTTTAAATTTCAGAAATACCTTGACGAACTGAAGCATTCTAATACGGAAACTGCTAGAAAAGCACAAACTGTTCTGCATTTCCTTGAGGCATGTTTAAAACTATGCTGGTTAATGGCAGTAAGAAACATTCTATCATTTTTGTGAAACTAGTGTTTTATATCTCTTGCATAACATACTCCATACCTTTGTTTGATAAATATTAGAGAAAAGAAGCATATTTAGCTTTCTATCTGTAAAAATATAAATTTCAACGAAACAAATCAATGTGATACTGTTCGAAAACTCATGCCAATTATATTTATTTTTTTAATCTTAGGGATAACTGTCTCATGTCTATTTTTGATTTTCCTATTTTCCTTTAAATTTTTTCATATCCACAACATGGTATTGCAAATCTAAAACAAATCTTGCAGGTTCAAGATCCTCCTCTTGTTTTTAGTCCTAATATCAGGCGCGGAGATGTTTTCGATACGGAATTATACAAAGTCTACATGAAGAAAGGAACACGTGTGGCGTATGTTGTTTGGCCCGCTCTTTTACTGCACAAAGAGGGTGAAGTTATTTGTAAAGGATTTGCTGAAGGGATGCCAAATCTTTTCCATAAACCACAAGATGTACCAACCCCATATCATAAAGGCAATCGTACACGACATTACACCTCTACCTTCTCAAACCAATATTACAAGCGAACAGATGACATGTTGGCAGTTGGTAATGAGAAAAATGAAAATAACCCAACAGGCGGTGAAAAATACTCCCCAAGCGAAATAACTGATGGGAATAAGTGTGATGCCAGTTATCGACTTCAATCATATGAATCATCATCATATTATCCCATGGCTTCGCGATTGCATAATGCACGCAATTTGAGTAGTGACATAAGTGATACCAAGCAAAATATTCAAGCATACAGGCCGAAGTCATATTCAGGCGAACGATTTTATCCCACAGATGATACTCTAACATGGTTCGACTACCGGTATCATCTTGACTCGTCCTGGGTTAGGTCCAACACTTCGCCACATTGTCAGCTCAAACCCAATAATACACAAGCAAGACATAAAACAGAGCAGTCATCTGGAAATGAAGAAAATCAGGAATCTAATAATAACTGAACTGATTCAATTTCAATTTCTTGATTTATAACGTTCATATCCCGTTCAACGTGCTTTGAATAAGGTATAAGGATTTTTCATTTATATAAAAATTTAAAGCTCACACGTGCAAGTAAATTAGTGTAAAAATTAATGTATAAATTATTATAATTATATTCGTTTCTTATAAAGTACAGATACGTAATGATATAAAAATATATTGACATGTTTCAAGCACATCACGTTTATTTGTTTGTCGTACTGTTACTGTTACTTTCTATACACTCCCTCTTACTTTTAATGAAGGAATAATGAAAGCTGTATACAAAACATCATTTATTGATTTTTTTTTGCATTTTATTTGTATTTATGCACGTAGATTTATGAGAAAAACAGATGAAAGGAAGGCCTCTTGAAGTCTATAAAAACAACAATAATATATGAACATTACAGACTCAGTTTTATTCAGTCTGTTCATGAAATATTAAAAAAAAAACTGATGCAAACCTTTTTTTATTTAACACAACACATAGCTAGCATTATAGGACTTTGTGATACTAATCAAGTAGTGGTGAAATAGATTAAGCAAAACAAAATGTATTCACATAGTTAAACCGAACGCTTGTAATGTTTAAGGGGCACAATATGTGATATTCCGATAAAGTTCGCTTTACGAGTATTTATTTTTTTTATTAGGATAAATTGTTTTTTTATTTGACGAAACAGTAAAAGAATGTTAATCTTTCTTGATTTTCGAGTGTATTACCGAAATTGGAGCTGCTGCTGAGAAAACAACATCAGCTTACGATCATACAATAAGTATTAGGTTAACAATTGCTGATAATAAAAGTAATAGCACATTTAACCAGCCAATATCGACGATATGTATACAGTGTCGACATGATAAAAGCAAGTATCACTGGGTAAAAAATTTGAATACTTAAAATGGGATTTTTTAAAAAAATCAAACTCTTTTCTTTAATAAATTAATAACGTTCCCCAAAAGCATACCTTAGATAAAAAAGTTTTAAGGAGCGAATCAAATTAAAAATTACTATATGTTTTACAAGTTATTGTCACTTGAATGAAGAAAACACTGCTCACCACAAGTCAAGATACACAACAAATCTAAATATTGAATAATTTGATAAGAAATTCTCCTAGGTCAAGCTGATCTCGGGTGTTTGATTGGTCAGAAACTCCACCAAAATGTACACTGACTAAAACCTGAGATTTGAGAATAGACTCAGAATAAGGTTTTATAACCGTGAAGCCAGGTTAAATAAGTCATTTTAAATACAAACCTGATATTGCTTAACAAACTGCTACTAAGGGGTTATCTCTATACATTTCCAATCTATATGCATTAATGTAGATAAGACAGTGATAAGTTTAAAGTAGTTTGGTCTACATTGAGCAAAGTTCCTGAACTTATGTTATAATTAGATAAAAAAAAATATAGACATGTATAATTTGTTGTGATATTGTTATGTAATATTTCTGGAAAACAAAATGTTAGTACGAGTTTTAGAGTGATTTAGTATGAACATTTATATGATGAATTTTTACATTTTGTTCTAGAACACTTTACTATTTGTTATAATTATATTCACACAATTTGTTATTAATTATTTGTATCAATTGTAATCATTCGTATCAATGTTAATCATTTATATCAATATTATCTTTATAACAATATTCAACATTAATATCAATGTTATTTTTTGGGTATGAATATGAAACTGGACAGACAATTCCGTAAAGCTCAAAACTCACAACTCTTAGTGAGAAAATTGAAGGAAAAACCAATTTACATGCTGCTCATGTTTCTTTTTATTTTGACCGGGTTGCGCAAGTGCAAGCCCGGGTTATAGTATGATGAATTTTGGGTGGCGGACAGGCAGGCGGCGAAAAATAATCGTATTACCAACAGTTTTCTCAGCAGCTACTTATTACAGCCTCATGATATTTGGTATACAAATGCAACCCTCCCTTTTCTGTCCTTGACCCATTTTAATAGTCTTAACAACTAGAATAAGAAAACAAACTTGAAGAAAAATTGAGGTACCATGCAATTGTCTCACAATTTGATGAAGGCTTGAGAGCTATGACATTCGTTTTCTTATACAAGTTAAAAAGCGCTAATAATATCTGAACTTTATGAAACTATGAATACTTCTATTTTTTTGGGGAGGCTATGCCGACCCAATGTTAATACCGTCCGTCAAATCTTACTGCCGCGGTAATCAGGTCAAAAATAGTACCTTGATTTTTTCTAAGCTGACTCATCACTCATCACAGACATTTACAATATGAAAATATTTTCATTCTTGAATTTCATATCAGATAATAATTCTCAAAATCACTACTCCGTGACGTCATACTGCCGCGGTAATCAGGTTTAGGCATACGTACGTCTGTAATAAATAGTTCTGGTATGAAAACCCTTCTACATAATAACTTTATCAATAATTTTTTAACAAAAAGCATAAATGAAAATTTATAAGTAAATGCTTAAATTAGGTGGCAAATATTCTTTATTATTTTTGATAACAAATTTCCAATTACTACGCAGCGACCAACTGTTATGACGGGTCATTAACTAGAACGTTGCAACACTGTAGTCTCAATATCATGCATGCATGTTCTTTTGTTGATATAAACCATTAATAGTCCTTAATATTTTTTAAAGACAAATAATGGTAAATTGTCGCTTACACCAGAGACATGGATCGTGCTTGCGTGAAACTAACTTATTAGTACACCCTAGGAGGCTGTACGCGGAAAACGCTCATAAACCGCTATATCATATAGCTGTAAAGTGAACAGTGAAATGACAGAAATATGTGGTCAAATATGTTTTAACAAGGAAATAATTATTTCAGAGAAAGACGCAAAGATCAGTCTTCAATCAAATGAATGATCCCGTATTGTGTAATTAGAAAGTTTATTCAATTCTAGGGCAACGCATCATAATTTGATAGTCCATGTGTAATAAAATTCAAATTTTCAATACAGATTATGAGATACATAAAAAATATTAAAGAATAAGAGGCTTAAAAAACAACAACAAAAAAACAACAAAAAACGCATATATATACGAATGACTTACAGTTTAGCATCGGGAATTCATCAACATATCTTTACGAAACTTTAATTTGAAAACGATATTTGCGGGCGCTGAAGTGATTAATGTTTATTGGAATAAATCAAATAAAAAAAACTTATATGTTTGTGTTCTAAAAATAATCGGCGGCATAAGAGGAATTTCGTATTCATTTTACAACACTTGAAAAAATACTACAGAAAATGTGTTGTTGTTTTTTTGTTTTGTTTTCAACAAAAGGTGTGTGTTTTAAGTTTATTTATACTCGGGGCCGGAATAACCATATGTCCGAGATTATAGCATCGGGGACGTCTTTTTCATGCCGAATCTTCCTGGTAGCCCATTCTTCGTTCGTTGGTGGTAAAGGAGACGACAATACTGGCAAGGCATCAACTACCTGACTGACGACAACAAAAACGGCATTCATTAGCGCCAAACCTCCAGAGTAAGTCACGACAGGTCAACCAATCACCTCTGGTACTTGAGATGACTTGACCTTGACCTGCCGTGTGCCTTCTCCGCGACGTGCACGCCTCTGGAGGGATTTGGAGAAGTTTCAACAAAAAACTTCCAAAACACGCTATTTATAAATTAATAACACCATTCATAGCACTGACGCTTCGATGTTCTCATCTATTTGCGGGAAATGGTCGACAGGGAAAACCCTACGTAATAACTGCACACCCTGTTAACAAAGAGATTTTCCGCATAGTTATATTTCAAGCTAGTGAGGTTTAAAAATATACATGTAGAATCTATCTATTAACTACCATAAGTTGGTTGAGTGTTGGCGGTAAAAAAAGAAGATATAACTTCCTGATCAAATTTTCACTTCGGTTGAATCAATTTTGAATAAGCTTTGCAGATATGTATTTTTTCAAGAAATATTTAGTTTTAATAAATATCCGAAGCCGTCAAAGTCAGCGACGAGTAATGAAATGGGAATAATTTTCTGAAACGTGATTTTATTCCAGATTTGCTTCGGAAGAAGACATCTTTCTGTCCGTATATCATGGATATTAATACTCATCACAAAGACAGTATCTTATTGATCTCAATTATGGTACATGACATGTAAATATTGTATAATTTTTATGTTCAATAAAAAATGTTGCATAACTTGCAGTTGTTATTATCATTCAATGATATTAAAATGACATAAAGTATTTATGATGAACAGTCCTAGAATATTTTGATAAGGAACAGTCAGTTGTAAAATGTTATTGTTATCTTATAATGAACAGTCGTCATACTTTCTGGTATGTCATTTTATTATTGACAGTTTAGGTTTTTCAAAATTTGCAGGATTAGCAGTCCGAATGTAGACCTCAATGAAATGTTCTGGAATATTAACAAAATGAATAGTCAACCATATTAACCATATTCATGAATGGTTGAACACAACAGTAAGGATAAATGACACAATGTGCATATCTTCTTATTTTGGTAATAATTGAAATAACAGCACATTTTAAGCAAAAAGAAAAGAAACTATAAGTCTGAAACATTCTGTCATAGCCTCCTCATCAGTACATTCAGTGCTTTGATTTAAATAAGGGTTAATACTCATGTATTTGTGTTCTTATGACATTTCAATTCCGCGGCATTTATTTCCATAGTTAGCAGTCTGCTAAACAAGATATAAAATCTGCATCCTTGAGCATATTCAATCATCTAACGACGGGAATATTTGCATTTGACAAGTTTTTAATATTCCATTAATACGTATAACTTCATAATAAGGCAAATGTAGCGCATCTGAAATTAATGCTTCGACGACGCAGGAACAATGTGTGAGCCGTCAACATTTATTATTGGACGATTGGTGGATGGTAGGGGGCAAGTTGCTTTTAAACCGTAAAGTCAGTTAAACTGATTCTGGTTTTTGCTTACAGCTTTAAGTCTACTTGTTTCGATGAACTAAGCATGATAAAACCTATAAGAGTGAGCAATCTACATGGAACGTTTCTATTTGTATACATGTATAATTTATAAATTTGTTATATCATATATAGAAAATATTATCAGATTTACATACTCAAATATACCCCTAAAATTTCATTTAGTACCAAGTATATATAACCATGCAAAAATATAAAAAAGTCAAAAAGATAAAACCCTACAAACATTC